CGCCTGCGTTAGCTCTTTATTCGCTTTTCTTTTTCGACCCTAATTCTAATAAATATAAAATCCAGCCCCCTTAAGAGCATGATCCGCGCCTGCCCTTAAATACTATTACATTTATTAAATTATAAAACCGTAAGCTTTAAAATCGACCGTATAAAATAATCACAGGTTTTGACAGCAACGGAAAATGAACCTTTTCTTGGACGCGGGCGCCCACCCCGGTTTCACCTGCAGTAATCCACAAAAATCAACCCCCCGCCACCCCGCTAAAATTGCAACCCATCCCGGAGCAGCATGGGGAAGGACAAGCAGAATTTAGACAAAACCAGTCGGGTGAGGGGTCCCCGCGCAGAGCGGGGGAAAGGCCTGCGGGTGATTATTGCTTCGTTAGGGGGGCCCTCGCCGCCAGGAGCCCGGCGCAGCCCCGCGGGGAGGAAAGTGCCTGGAAGTGACGGGGGTTCGGGGAGTCCCGCGGCCCTTGAGCGCTAGCAGCAAAGGGAACCCAGTGGAAAAGCCACCGGGCGACAGACACAGTCCCTGTGTGACACCCGTTGCCGAGGGCACCGCCGAGCCCCGTGCGACACACGCGAGGGGACGGGCCTGGCCGGGTGCGAGCGCCCCTCGCCCCGCTGGCACCCGGCTGGAAGTGAAGGACACGCGGGCACCGAGCACGCAGGAGCGGACGCGGCCCTGAGCGCTGCAGGCTGCGGTTGGAGGACACGTTTAGGCAGAGGTTGGATTAACTCAAGATGGGGTTAAAGCACAGAGCTGAGCAGAATGCTGAGCGTTTCTCAAAGCAGAGAGATAACCTCGTTTCCTAGAGGCAGCTCCTTCATTAATAGCTCTTTTGTCCCAAAGCGAGCTGAGCAGGGGACGCCATGGACAAGCTACGAGCAGCACAGGCTTCACTGTGCACAGGACAGCACTTTGCCTGCAAGCACAGTCACCTTCCTCAAGGAAGGCAATTAAGTGCTGTTTTCCACATCCAAAACACTCCCAGCACAGCCAGAGGAGCAATCCCTGGCTTTTACTTCCATTACCTGAAGACACATACTTGGTCTTGCCACCACAGTATTTGCCACTGAGTTTCTGATCCCAAGGTAGGGGACGGGTAGTGATGCTTGGGGTCACGGTTTGGGACAGGAGTGAGCTCGCCCCGAGGACCAGGCGGAGAGCTGTAACGTGCAGGCTGCGCAGCTGCAGGCAGAGCAGCAGCCACGCGGCTCGGAGCTCCTTCCTGATCCCCCTCTGCTATCCACCACAGCTGGAATAAACCAGTAAGGAGCAACACCCTGGAGCCCTTATCTCTGTAAGGAGGATGGGCAAAGACTACCCTACCATTCCCTTTGCTTCGCATACAGCATCATGGGTGTCTATGTGCCCTCCCTAAGGCTAAGGTGACAGAGATGCCCCACAAACCAGAGCTACCTCGGGAGCCAGTGGAGATGCTTTTGGCTTGATTGGGACACTGCAATGGCCTGAGATCAGCCCCAACTCCATAGCACATCCAGCCTCCATACAAGGCACTCATGTTTGTTTAGACACTGTTTTTTCATGGTCTTCAAAGATTCCTCTCATTCCTTGGCCCTGCAGGGTGGTCTGCTCACACCTCACCCACAAAAGCATGAAGGTTTAGGAAGAATTTGGAAACCTCCCCAGACAACAGCCACAGACACAGCAACAGGCACTTGCTCTGAACCCTTCGAGTGAGCCCAGTCACACAGAAATCCCCGCTGCCAGGCGTAGGTGGCAGCAGCCCCCACGATCCTGGCTGGGGGGTGCCAGGCACCAGCTTCACAGCCAGCGCTGAAGGAGCGGGGAGCAGAGAGGAATGCAGAGATCCTGCTCCTGTGAGCAGCTCGAGAGCAGGCAGGGCGCAGCCTGGGTGTGATGCTGTATGCAGAGCACAGGGAACGTGCTGGGTGAAGCCCAGGTTCGAAGCACGCGCTAGCAAACCCACCGTTAAGACCACGCCGTGCTCAGACTATTGCAAGGTTTGCTGCGTGCCTTGAGGCCTGAGCTGCTCCAGGGCCCCAGATTCCAAGTCTGCCCACCCTGATCTCAGCCAAACGTGGGCACGCAGCGAGCTGCTGCTGTCCAAAGAGGCTGGAGCCAGGGGCAGCTTTACCTGCTTCCCTTGCAGGAGCAGGGCCACAGCACACTGCCGACCTGGCTGCAGTCCTGAGCGATTTTGCCACCTACGGCGTTGCCAGGGCAGAGCTGAATGTTTGATGAACCCAGGAAGGGAAGGAAGACAATAAATACCTGAACGTTGAGGAAGGGGGCACAGGGCAGCAGCCTGGTTCCTTCCAAATGAGCCAAGAGGACCAAAATAGAAACCAAATCCCTGCACTGCTGCATGGTTTGCAACCCTGGGTCAGATGCTGCCGATGCCTCTTGCACTTTTTTTTTTTCCCTTGACCCTAAATCTGGGCCCAAGTCACAGTCTCATGAATCCCCTCCGGAATCAGGACTAGGTAAAAGCAGCACCACCTGTTTCGGGAGAGGTTCCAGTCTTGCATTGGAGATGGCAATGCTTCCAGTGTACACTGAAAACAGCTACCCATCAGCACCAAGGGTACTCGGCAGCATTGGCCTCCAGACCAGGCACAGGGGAAACCTGTTCTCTTAGCAAATCAAATTCTGAGAGCAGGGCAGCAGGGGAAATCGCTGCCCCACAGCTCCTTGCCAGGAGAGTGAGTGCAGGGGAAAGCCTAATGGCCAAAGCCCTGGCCCCAGTGCAGAACGGGCCATGCCTCAGCCTCACAGACACAGCTCAAGGGAAAGAAGGGGTGACAAGTCCACCCCTGGGCCACAAGAGCGGTGGGGGCAGACTATTCCTTCATTTAAAACCACGAAGGCCTGCTCCGTCCCAGCAGAAAAGCAGAGAGCTCCAACTTGTCTTTGTAAGACAAGCTCCCCCTCTGCACCTTTACATCCAAGTCCAGCTCCTGTGCCGTTCCAGCCACTGAATGAGCATGTAACAGGATTGCCAAAGTGCTACGGAGAGGCAGCGCAGGCTGGTCTAGCAAAAAGCAACCTGACTAACCCCTTGTGTCTGTGACCTGCAGCCAAGCAGTTCAGGTCACAGCATACAGCTCCTCGCGGTCATTCTGACAAATCTGATAGCGGCAGGTGAGTTTCTGTGACCAGGCCCAGGGCTTCTTATGTTTTTCCCGAGGTGGGAGCAGGAAAGCAACGCTGCTCGCCACCAGCACGTGCCAAATGCTGTGGGTGTAGTAATAGTTTTCATTGGTTTCCATGAATGCATATACTGAGATGGCGATGAAAGCCAAGGTGATCCCTGGTAGGAGGTAGAAAACCCAGCGCTTCCATGAGGAGGGGTAGCAGCGTCTGCGCTTCACTCCGTGGTAAACCTGAAGGTGGGACAGTAAAAAAGGGTAGTCAGCCACAAGGTTGTGTAGGCAAAATTAGCAGCGTTGCTTGACCTAGGAGCACCCATCAACCAGCCAGTCCTCATGACAAGAGAGTTTGCTTGCTGTCCCCAGGGAAATTCAGCCTTTCCCCTGCCTCGGGCCCATCTCTTGTGCAGAGATCGGCCTGTGGATGCGAGTGGGCTGGTGTCTGGGGCGTGCTCTGCCACCACTGCTCTCTGGAAGGGAACCAGGGGCAGCACCTCCTGCTGGCTCCCATTACTCACCCATGCTGCAATCATGATGACGAGGGCAAAGAGGCAAGGACCCATCATGTTCCAGACTCCCCTGCGGTCTAGCTGCAGAGACATGGCAATGAAGAGAGTCCCCAGGAGGAAAAGGACCTGTGGGTGAGACAGCAGCACTAACACCAGGATCTCATCAGATGCCAAAGCACAGCCAGCCATGCCAAAGCCTAAAGTTAGGCAGAACCTCCCCTCCAGCTGCCCAGCTCTGCCTGCATGGCTTAGGAGCTGCACCTTCAGCACGAGAAACCAGAGGACTCACAAATCTTCCCTCTCACCCTCCTTAGACCCAGTCCCAACAGGCATGCAGGTCATGCAGCAACTCCTGGGACAAGACCACTCTCTGGTTTGAAAATCAGGGCAGCACCAAGTGACAAACACAAGGAGGGCTGTCCCGGGAGCTCGGCGCGGTGCAGGAGCCGCTGCACGGCCTGTGCTATTGGAGCGCTGCCGCGAGAGGGCACCGCGCGGCCGCCGCCCCCCGGCCGCCTCACCCTGCGGCTCGGGCCAGGACCCCACACTCACGTATTTCAGAATCTTCTTCACCCGGGACATGCACAGGATCGTCACCCAGATGGACACCACGGACCCCAGAAAGTCACAGTACTGTAGTGTGTCATAGTCCATAATGCACAGCACAGCAACGCCTGGCTGGTCACACGCGTGGTAGAACTAGAGCAAGAGCAAGAACAAAAACTAAGCATGAATCCAGTGCTTCCCAGGAAGGAGATGCAGGAGAAAAGCCCGTTGTGCCAGGATCCCTCCTGGAAGTATCTCCAGACAGCTGCAAACTACCACAAGACTGTGGAAAGCAGCTGGAGAGCAACCACCAACCTGTGCCCTCCCAGCAGCAGGGAGAGCTCCTAGGGCAGCATCTCCCTGCTCAACCCTGTCCTTTGTGGTGGAGTCAGCAGCTCCGTAGGCGCCTAGTGCAACAAGGAGCCCCGGCCCAAGAGAGAGCAGCTCAGCCCGCGCAGGGCAGCGCAGCCCTCTGGGTGCTGCTCAGGGTCCTGGAGAATGCTACGCACTTTAGAGCATGGCAATGAATGTGTTCCGAGCTCCAAACCCATCTCAGCTCCCCACAGTCCCAACCCCAAATGTAAGCTCCCACAGCATGGGCAGGAAGAGCTCAGTGGAATAACACTCCCGTTGAGCTCTGAAGGGGCAGAACATATCGGTTAAGGTGCTCACGCGGTGAACCCAAGAGCTCCTCACAGAGCTCCAGGATGGGACTACTCCATCAAGGACCTCAGTCCAAGCAGGCAGGACTTGCTTCCTCATTATCGTGGCAGTGGGATAGCGCAGTTGGTGCTGCCAGGGGTACTAACACAGGCAATTCTTACCGTGGAGAAGAACATAGTGTAAGTGTAGACAGAGGCCTCCACCAGGCAGTAGTGATAGACAGCAACCACGATTGCTGGCAGGAACATGAGGTTACTCAGTGTGAGCAGAAGGGTGGCCAGGTTCTGCGCGCTGACAGACTGTGCCTTGGTATCGTCCGTGCAGCTCCACCCACTCCAACCTGCGGAGCAGAGCCCAGCCTGAGGCCTGAGAAGATCTCCTAGGTAATTCCCACACAGCAGGGGCCACTGAATGCACAACATGGGCCTGCCCAGACTAGCCCTTGCTTGCCATCCCCATGGTAACTCAACACACACATGCTACTTGCTGGTAATACATCAACTGTTTGGGACTCGGTTGCTTGGGACAATGCTCTTAAAGCTCTGCAAGAGAAGACCCCTGCAGATCCCAGGAACTTGGGAGAGAATGATACAAAACATCAAGGAAGTCACTGTCCTCCTGTGCCACCTCTTGCTCTGAGCAGGGCTGACTGCAAAGCCCAACAGGTTATTCTGGGCCTTGAGCAGGTCTAAGGAGTCTCTAAGGATGGAGGTCCTACCACCTCTCTGGATAGTGTGCAAAACTGAACAGCTCTCATGGAGAAAAATCCATTTCCTTATATTTGGCTGAAATTTTCCTTGTTGCAATCTGTATCCAGGGCTTCCTGCCTTTTCCCTGTGTCTGCTTGAGAGAAGCCCATCTCCCGAGTTCCTGTCACACCTGTGGCCAGTGCAAGGTACAATTACATCCTCCTCAACCTCCTCTTCTGCAGGATGAGCAAACCAGGTACCTCAGCCTCTCTTCCTAGGCCTTTTGCTGCAGCCCCAACCATTGCAGCAGCCCTTCTCTGGACGCTCCAGTTTGGTAACATTTCTGTTACACAGAGGGGGCCCAAAAGCCCCAGACAGAGCCTCACGAGTGCCCCTCATGAAAGCCATGGCCTTGCCAAAGCAGCTCAGGGTGCAAGCTGACCTTCATGGCCACATGGCTTGTGTCCATCCTGTGTCCAACCTGCTGTTGACCATCAAAGTCCTTTTCTGGGGCACTGCCCCCAGCTGGTCTTTCCCCAGCTTGTGCAGATGCACAGTGTTGTTCTGTTCCAGTGGTAGGACGTTGATGAAATTCACACGATTCCCACCATTTCCAGTTTTTTAGTCCATTGAGGCCCTGCTCAGCCCTCTGCCACAGCAATCAAGCCTCCATCTGGTGCCATCCCTGAATGTGTTGATCATTGAAGAAGTTGAATGCTATCAGCCTCAGTACTTACACAATGTGGCTGACGCTCTCACTCTGTAGCCAATTCTGGGGATTGGGAGTCCCTTAGTGCTCCTAATCTGGGCAGGACTCAGCTCCTTTGGGTCCTTGGGGAAGTACCTGAATCTGCTTACATCTACACAGGGACACTAGGAGGACTTCTCAGAAGAGTTTAACAGTCCATCAAAGTGGCATCCAGGTCTGCACAGGACAGGTGGGAGTAAAAAAATTCCTAAAGGGCAATGTATGAGCATTGACAGTAAGGTCAGTTCTTAATCTGTTGACTGGATACCAAGGATTGAGCTGAGACAGTTTCTTATAGGCACGAAGCCTTTTTGCTTTTTGGTGTAGACGCTCTGCATTCAACAACTGAGTCAGAAGTTGCATTCATCCCATTACAGTGCTGTTCAAAACAGCTGGATGGATACTCCCTCTTCTCCCCCATCCCTGGCACACAGCGCCCGCAACAAACTGTATTTCTCTCCCAGTGTATTTCTGGGTCACAGATGGAGGCAGGGCACTTCGTTCCTGGTGATTCAGCAGAAAGATCTCCTCAGCCTCATTCACCTTTTCCCCTGGGTTGCTCTGTGCTTCCCAGAACCTCATGCACCTCGGGGAAATTAGTGCTGTTCTCTTTTTCACTATCAGCTCAGCCACAGAACTGCTGCAGACAGCAGTAACATCCTGGATCAAGACCAAAGCAGTGGAGAACCACGCTTCACCTTGCCCTTCTGCTGAGAAGAGGTGCAAGTATTTGTCCAGAGTCACTGGA